CGCAAGCCAGGAGAGCGGTGAAGACAATCTGAAAGTTGAAAAAAAATAGATTAAAACCTACGGCTTTTTCTAATTTCGGAGTACACAGAAACAATAATAGACTCTTTAGATACCAAAGAAATAAAAAATGTACAATTATAGAATGTTTATAATGTTCATAAATTTATGATTTTAGTTAGAATTGTAAATGTTTATGTAAAAATGACTTACGAATCCCTGCATGTTGATTGGTGTTTGTTTATTTGTTTGGTTATCACAAGTTGTGTCCGACTTGGAGTGGCCGAATTATCTAATAAATACCGGCCACTGCCCGGTATATATATACTGGTCCTGCCGAAACCTCACAATAAGCGCACGCAATGAACGTACTTGAAGTGCGCACAACGATGTACGAATGCGTACGGACGATAGCTTTTGTGGATACGGCATTTCTATTAACTGTGCACACTTGCATCCGTACATTATTACTTATTTCCTTTACTAGTGTGTAGATTATGGCATTCTGATTTTTAACAATATAATGATTTTATTTAAAAAAAGTAGTATGATCTTGGTCGTCTAGCTCAAATACAATATGTATAAACAGATCAATGTTATCGGTTGTAAACAAAAGAAGGTATAGGTCCAGTAACATTTTTAAAATGACATTGACAAGAATATCTGCATTGCCGCATCCATCGAGCTTTATCATTCGATCATCGGGGGCTGCCTTCAGGCTGTAGTGGTTGGGATATAATGAATAAATAAATAAGTAAGCAGTAGCGCCTCAACTGGGTTTGTGGGCCGATGCCAAGATCACCGACACACCGCAAGAAATACTACCGACCGGTTGTTCTCGTGTGCTCTCATGTCATAAATGCTTTTAAACGATATTCTTTTTGTTGATTGATCGTCATGAATTAGCTAATTGTTAAGTGAGATGTCATTACTACAAGACATTTTTTTTTGTTCTCTGTGTAATTTTTAAAACGTAATTTCAACGAGCATACTTCACAGTTTTTTGCAATTATGAAAGTACTCTTAAAGTTTGCTTTAACATGTAGTAGTTAGGGTTTCTTTGAGTTATTTTTAGAGAGGATGGATCGTTTTCATTAGAGCTTATAAGTTGCGTTAATGCTGTATAGTATTGTCACTTTCAGTGAATGTTTTCGATTCAGATAAGCCGTGCTTCCGTCAGTCTAACCCGGCCATGAAAACATTTCCGCTCCAGTTAATATTTGGATATACAATATTTAATCACATGTATATCGAATATGCATACGTTTATTTCTCAATGTCTTTTAAGTTATTTTCCTCAACTTTCCGATACAACCTTCTTATTGGTGAAATAACTGATCTGGAACTTTCGATCGTTTAAATTCACTATAAATAGTTATATCGTGTAATATTTTTATGATTAACATCACAATTTTGCACGCAAAAAAGGAGCGGACTAGTTAATTACTTCATTAAGTACTGATTGATATGATTTTGTATTTCGTTCAAGGCTTCATTTCCAATAACTGATCAATAAATTTGAGAAATTTTAAAAATTTTATATGTACGTAATAGCAACATTAATTCGTATTCTAGTTTTCATGCAAAATCTCTAGGTAAAAGATAACCTTTTTTGTATTAAACACATTTAAGATGCGTAAAGTGGAAGTATTTCGACTGATGAGTGCGAGTGCCGGATTTCGTCCATTTTCCCTTCCTATTGCTGTCTTATAACAAGAGGTGAATTTGTTGGAAGAAAACGGACTTCGTCGCTTCGTTATTTCAGTGTATTCGGTGGCCGCTTGCTCGTTTGTCACCCACCTTAGAATCGGTATTCTTGTATTTCAGAATCTTTGACGTTAGTTATGACATATAAAATATTTAGTAAAAAAACGTAAAAATTATTTTCGTTTTATTTGCAACAATTTATTTTATACTCGACCTTGCACTTTTAGAAACATAAAGTAACCTTTACTTAATTAAATGAGTTTACTTAACCCACATGTTTTGACTTGAAGTTGCCTAAAAAATTAACTAGGGCGCAAAAATAAGGTCATTGCGCGAACGTTGTCATTTATATTAATGGACGAAGGCTTTGACGGATCCATCTGACAGAGAGTGGAATTGAAATGCGTAAGCGCAGCGTGTAGTACTTTACACGACAAGTTTTTTACAACAGACCAAAGTGGGGTTACCATCCCTTTTAAATATCATGGATTGATTCATATTTAAGTTGTCAAAAGATTAGAGATTATATTTTTTTATTTCTATAAACGCTATGAACCATTAAGATTAAAAAAAATGTAGTATTTTTTTACCATAAGCGTACTCTTCTGTCTTATTTGGCAAGTCAGGTAGTAAAGAACAATTATGCCTGACATGTCTATTCAAATACCGGGCGCTATAATCTCTTTATATCCTATACTAGAGTAGAAAGTAATCTGTTTAAAATATGAATCTGCAAAAGTTCTGATCAACACAACGTGTGGTCACTCTGCTGATTAAAGTCATCACATAAGCATTACGCATAAATTGGACATGCCTGTCTGTTGTATCGCTTTTTACATCTACGTTTGCGCAAACTTTGAGGATGATGTCGTTAATTGTTTTATTTACTTAACGTCGATATTAACGTGAACATAAGATCGCAATCTGGACGTCTCGTCGCCTCTCCTCCGATAACATCTGCATTTCATTTAAACCTTACAAATTAATATTTTTATTGGCAGTTTTCTGGGTAAGTGCTTGAGAGTTGCCAACATAAAATATGGCAAAAACTATAGAACATAATAAACTGGTTTGTTAACCCTTTAATACATATGGATGTTTATGTTTTCAATGGGTATTACAGTGCGTCTTTTTTACTGTAAAAAAAAGAAACAATGCGAGTATATTTTCAACCGACTTCACAAAAGAAGGAATTTCTTTTTAGTACATTGTTTACTTTTTGTGAGTATTTCGTTTTGAGTGCATTTTTACGTCTATAACTTCTTGCTGTAAATTAAAAATATACAACTAAAAAGTTTATACTTGATGTTCAATGTTTTATTACATAACTATTATAACTATGAATAATGGTCAAATCAATTTAATTGATCTAAAATAGCAGAGTTAGAGGTCAACGAGTCCGGAGGCTGCTTATCTTCGAAGTTGAGCCTTGAGACTACAGACAATAATAACTCTGTCGTAATCTGTAAGACGGTAGCCATCGATTACATCTCTACTGAGTGACGTCATAGTTTCAACATCGATTGTTACTATACAATCGCAGATATTATGTGATGTCTGTATGGAATCTTCTGAAGATCATTAGGTGGTTATCGAGAAAATGGACACCTGGATTCTGAAAACAGAGAAAAATAATATTTCCTCGTCCCAAAACTCCGCCAAATTTACTTCCCCTTATATGAAAAGCGTAGAAAGGGATAGTGAATTAAAATTTGGGCATTTATAATTATTCAACTGTCTCAGGATAAATGAATATTACGCTAACAAAATACTTTTCTTTATTTAATTCAGTACCAAAGTTAACTGTTCTTCTCCTTCTTTAAGTCTATCTTCTTTCACACAATCCATCCATGCCTTTTGGTCTTCTTCTACCTTTGTATCCATTCCTTTCAAATGAATACTTTCAACTAGTAGTTTGAGAAACAGTAAGAGAGTTATGAAACCGTCTAGTTGGCAATGCTAATGAGCCAACTTGATGGACGATTTGTTTCTGATCATATGTCATTGATATCATTAATATAATTTAAATCTGTTTATCAATCAATGTAATGAGCGAACATAACCGTAACGATTTGTTAATTGCAAATGTAACGCATTGCTTCGTAAAATAATTAACCGCAGCAATAACTAAGTCACAACACATTAGTGTGATTGAGTTGTTTGCGAAATAAATTTAGTGTATTGATAAAATTATTGCATAACCTTCCTTTTATTTATAACAGTAAAATGTACCTAAAAACTGCCAGTTGTGTACATTTAAGGGAAATCATATCTGTATTTATGTCAAAATTTTTGTAATGAAGTGGATCTTTTTTTAGAATATCTGACGACGGAACATAAGTACCTCTTTAGCTTTTTTATGTGACCTTAATATTAAATGGAAACCTTACTTAAGTATGTTTCAGTTTACTCGTATAAAGAACTTGTAACGAAACCAAATCACATTTATGAAATTACTAGCTGTTGCCCGCGACTTCGTCCGCGTGGAGTTTAAAAGTTCAAAACAGGACAAATTTGAATGAAGCCTGAAACACATACACCTTCTTTCTTAGTAAGTATTGACTTAGTAGTATACGTAGTAACAGAAATATCTATGCAAGATATAGACTTTATAAAAAATGCTGGAATTAATAAAGGGTGAAAAATAAATAAAGTAACATAAATAGAGTATAAAGTTTATTTCTATAATAATAAAATTAATGCAATGCGTACAACGGTAATGAATTCACGACTGGTACTGTCTCGTGGATTGTAGAACTGTGGTGAGAGATGGCGGAATCGGGAGTCTTGTAGGCAACCAGTGGTGACGAGTGGTACACTAGTGGTGAGGAGTGGAGAGCTACAGGTGAGACTACGGGGGCGTGGTAGACCGCGGTACTGCCATGGTTGACCACTTGTTTGCTGTTCGTCACTGTGGTCTTGGCAGCGGGTGCGTGGTACGATGTACGCTCATGCGATTGAGTACTGATGGACATCGGTACGTGGACCAGTGGTGCAGTGTGGACCACAGGCGCAGTGTGGACCACAGGGAAGGGATGAATGACGTGTGTGCTACCATGGTCTACCGTTTGGCTGCTCGATGTAAGAGTCGACTTTGCTAGAGGAAGGTGGTAATAATCAGGTTCTTGCGATAGGAGGTATCCGGGAGCCGCGGTAACGCAGGCAATGGTAGCCAAGATGGGGATCTGAAAAAATGAAAAATAAAGACTGTAATTAATCACATAATTTATTAGCGATTAGTTAAATTTGTTGACGTTCATTTTTGAACAAAAGGTGTAGTTAATTAAATGTAAACTCTTACCTAATTTTTAAAATAAATGAAAGCATTAATCTAACTACTATCTACTATTTCTTTAATAAATTTGTATTTTAAAAGTTTACAATTGGCAAGTATACTAATTTGAAATGCAAAAGCAGTTGACTTTAGAATTAATTCAATGATTGATGTTGGAGTTGAACCTTTGAAGCTTTATTTTTTCTTTTACAGTACAAAGCTCAGATGAATCATCTTCAAAGATTTTTGCAAATCAAATTTTTATTCTTTTGATTAGCAATAATATTTGATTGTGTGCTTCTTGAGTTTATTAATTAATTTCTACAATTCGAATACTAAAAACACTTACGAAGTATTGCATTGTGGTAGATGTGAAGTCTGGGGTCCAACTGATGGGCCACAAATCTGGCTGGTCCCTTATATATTGTACAAAATTATCGATCGACCAAGATTGCAAAAATTACAGGGGCGCGTACTTGAAAAATTTCTTTAGACATGACACAGAAAATAACTTCTTTCATAAGGATTGCAAAACTCGTCACTGTTCAAACGCACCGAAAGTTAAACCTTGAATTACCTGATCCTGCTTAATGGTGCTTTAAGCTATGATTAGCATAAACAATACGTAATTGATCATTTGATTAAAACGTCTCGCTGGAATGCTTTAATCACAGGAAGTTACTAAGTATGTACCTATGCATTAAAGTATCGAAATAAAATGTAACAAGTAATTAACCTCAAATTTAATGGTTAACTTACGTGTAATTTTAATTAAAATTGTGCAAAACATAAATCTTCTTAGTAATGGTTAACTATTTTCTGTCAAAACACTTTTAAACACACACATTAGGTTGTATTTTAAAAATACATAAATAACAATTTAATAAGCCCAAAAAGGAACAGAGGAATATGAAATAAAGTTCACTGATCAAATAAGTTAAATAACTTGATGACAACTTAAAGTGTCAAGCGTTTCGTAAGCAACATTTTGCATAGTTTAAAGATGTAGTCCGAACACGATGGTAGTCGGTGATATTACAAGATGCAAAATTAACAGATGCTCGTGATCAGCTCCAAACACATGTCTTCACAAGTGGGTACCATGTGAGCTGATTGCGTAGAGCACAGGGTGAGCATGTAACTGGCCTCAGTATTTCTTTACATACCACTAATACTTATAATAATTTCATGTTTATGTAATCTTTTTCAAGCCACCGTAAAGTTTGAATGGGACTATATTTGTGTGATGTAAGCCTCCAGATGGTCGATGCGGGTAATAAAGGCTTCACATATATTATTATTCACATAAATGAGTTCTTTTGTTTCACATATAGCTTCTTTTATACAATACCTGAGAATCATTGATTGCAACATATCAATGATTTTACGCCAAAATACAAATGACAAACCCTTATGCAAGAATACTACGTTTACACGAGTAGGTTTCGAATGAAATTCAGTTGTTATTTGAAGTTAATTCGTTTTTGTAATGTAGCGATTGGTAAAAAAACATCTGCGGCAACTTGAATGAATACTCCCTCGTAATGGATATTGCTTTTTAAGTAATAATTTGTACGTAAAAGAATATTAATGATTTAAGATAAAGGCCAGATAAATTAAATCCTTTCTTCCATCAAACCGCCCATAATTTAAGCTAAATGATGTGATTTATCAACAAGCTACCGTTTTGTACCACCTGACACGCAGGACGGCTTTTGGCGCCTATGTGCCGGTAGCGAAATGTTAAGGCTGCGACACACAAGGGTGAAAAAAATCAAATATAATAAAAACACTTTCTAGAGTTTTGAATACCCGTAACTGATAATTACATATTACATGTAGAAATCATTTAAGTACTAGTAGTACAATTTTTACTATAACTAACATTGTCTTCATTAAATTATAAGGATAGTACTTTAAATTTTTATTGCTTTAATTTAGTGTGTAAACAGTCACATGAAAACCATTGTTTATTATCCTAAGTTATTTCTGAGATAAAATTCTTAAAACTTGAACGAAAGTTCCAGTGTGTCGCCGCCTTTACACTTGTGGATTTAAGGTTAAAATATGTGTTGGTCAACCGCTAATTGCACTCGAGCCACTGTTGCCGGCACGCGAGCGCGAGCGCGAGCGTGAGCTTGTTGGTTCTACAGTAATTCCTTTAAATGGATTTTAACACTTGTTATATTGTAAAACACCTTGATTACTAACTTACCCTTTTCCAAATTACTTATTTATAAAATCAAGTTATGACTTATTACACGTACTAAGTGTGTATCTGTGCTTAAAATTATTATTTTCCGTTTTTATATTTTGTCTAATCTCGAATCTGTTTATGATCTTTTTTGCATACTGTACTGTATAGTCGAACACTTTAATTTCCTACCCAATTCGTTCAAATCTCAATTACAAACTACGCTAATAAAACAATTAGGTACAAAACTTGTCATTGCAGCATACATACGTAATACGTACCTTTGTAGTTACGTGGACTCTTATAGTCACATTTGCAATTTACAGCTTTTTTTTTAAATCAACTTGATAACTTCTATGTTAAGTTATATAAAAGGTCTGTAGATATTAGTCTATCACATGTTCATGTTTGATGTGTCGTTATTAATCGTTTTGATATTTGGATATTTATCTTGGAAAGCTACGTTTCAAACTTACGATAGTTTTCGTAAGCTTAAGTGGTAAGTATATTTAATTCCTTTACTGTATTGTTGATCTTCAATGCGATTGTAACTCGCCTTAGGGCTCAGTTCAAGGCTGTATCGTCTCCAGATAATTGCAACAGACAGGATGCTTAATGTCCCGCCATATCTCTTGACTTCGGCTAATTGTCCTTATATTTCACGCTTACCCTTTCCAAGTAACTTTATCGAACATACTTTGTAGTAAGTACTGATTTAATCTGTTTAAAATGATATGTTATTGGACATTTTTTTCGTTGTTTGTACTAATCGAAATTTTAGGTCTCTGTTAGTAATGGTTTTTTACATTCGTAATAGTAGTACTTCTGTCTAAATAACGATTTAATTTTGTATGACCTGGTCTATATTGGGATTTTTTACGTGTTCCAACAATTTAAATCTTATTTAAAATAGTATATAATTTTAACTTTTCCAATTTTATTCTATTGCGAAATATTTGTATAATTAAATTTAAGAAAGTTGGTCAAAGGTCCGAGTTTCAGACAGTTTATTAATTTGCACCGCTCGCGTGAAATGACAGCTGATAAATCATTCATTGTTGGCCACTCGTAAAAATGACCTTTAACTTTACAGTAACAGAAAAAAAAACACTATAGTTGCGACGAAGGGACCAATTATAATCGTATCATATCAAATCATTTTCGTCTCTAAAGTTACCTCCGTAAGGTCGATAATGGAAGTTTATATTTACTGTATCGCGTAAATGAGATTTTAACTGTTATTTTATTAATTTAGCGCCTTTTTGTAATTAAATTATTACAATATGACGGCGGCGTGAAGTAATAAGTGTCGATGATATCCATTTGAGATACGGTTTAAAGCTGAAATTGATTTATTGTCAGATTGTAAGATATTTGCCCTTAATATTATCAAATTGATTCACACCTGAAGTACGAAATTGTTTTACTGCATTTATGTAATAAATCTCTCATTTGTAACGTTTTTCTTTTAAAGTTGTGTACTGTATTGTATATCAACACGTTTTACAACTATAAAAACACTTACAGAAATATTTCGATGATGTTTCATGTTCAAATTATTTTGTGAAAATCAATACAATAAAGTTGACATTTTATTTGACTGTTGTACAATTTGGATGAAATCAACTCGTGACTTCTTAATTTTGAACTTCGAATTTGAGCAGCGCCATCTACCGGTGTATAAATATATCGTAATACTGCCGTATGGTCGTATTTGCTTGCCCGTATCATCCCTTCTGACAAATTTAAAAAATGCACGAATAAAACTTTAGGAAGAATATTACGCCATTTTTATGTCAATGTCAAACTCAATGACGCTACAAATCATTTTAAATTGTGACAGTTTAAAAAGGGTTTAAATCCAGCTTGCGTTGGCACATAGCGTTCGTTCAGTTAAAACGATCTTTAATTAATTTAATAACGAGACTTTTTAATTGTCATCTAAAATGTGGATTTTAAGTAACGTAATAATATGTGGCGGAAACATTCCATTTTTTGTAGAGGCTAAAATTATTAAAAATTATTACAAATTCTGCTCTATTTTATAGATGTTTAGTGTGAATTACACAATCAAAATTGTAGAACGAAATTGAATATTTTGGATGAAAAAAAACAATACTGTCTTTGATTAACTGGTCGGGGACATTTAATTTTACTTCTACATCTTGTTAACATTGTTAGTGAAATGGTAAAGGGCGTTATTTTCGGATAGTCGTTATTTTTAACTGTCAGTAGCATTCTTGGACCATAGATCTATACAAAATTTTAGAATTACCACTTATTCCACTTAAAAAATATAATAATTTGACTTAATAGCTTGTAACAAAACTAAATTTTGTAAATTATCTTTATACTAACGAAAAAAATATTTACCAACCGCAAAAAAGAAAAACCTTTTAACAATATGCTGGTTTTAATTCATATGATATTATAATATTAACATCGTGTTCTATAGTATTACATACGCCATCTATTTTATTTCACACCAAACTTAATATATTTCGGTATTACATTTTACGTTGCATTACAGCCGACTCTTAAACTGCATAACTCTGTGGTAGAGATGAGTTACATTTCAACTCATATATTAAACTGGAAAAGGGCATCAGTGCTAAAATATTCCTTATGATGCCATCTCGACTGTCATCGCGGGATTCCAGCACATCGTGATTAATGAATGTTGAAAAGATTTCACGCGATTTAATGTGCGTGTATTCCATTTGAGAGGTCGAGATGGCATCCTCTCCAGCAGATGTCGCTTTTGTAGCACAAATCATAAATAATGAGATATTACTTCCATATTACCTGATTTTTAAGGTTTTTTTAAATAAGTAATCAATTTTAATATTTATTTTGGGAAGTGCTTTTAGTCATGTTTTTAACGTATGAGGCAAATTACCATTATTTAGCATATAAATGGCATATCAAAGGCCCACAGTCGGAATTAGTTAGTCAGGGACCCTTTGGGACTGTAGAATGCGGGTTCATTGACCGGACTTTGGGCCCCATGTCTGACGGTACCATTTGTCAACTCGTCAGCCGTCCGCGCGGACAGGTGTGATCGCCTTCCGAAGAAAACATCTAAAAATAAAATGGATAATATAAAAAAGCTCTTTGATAGATCAGGTTCTATTTATAAACACTAGGAGTCAATTTTATTCTGTTTCTTAGAACATGTCTGCTTTGGGTCAATAATTTATACATCACGGCGAAATAATTAATAGAATGTTACTGTTCGTATTACATTCTCTAAATTCACACGGATATTCAGAATTTTATTTGATTCGATAAGAATTATAAAAATAAAAATAACCAAAAATGACTGTTATGGTAGAGCAAGGCGACTGAAAGTAGAAACGACACGATAACTATTGAAATATGAAACGCCGTCTATCGCTGACTTATCGGAGACTTGGTGACACTTCAAGGTGTGCCACTTAACGTCTGTGACACACCACGAGCATAGTACAGAAACGAAAGAACAGATTTACTGAGCACATAACGTTATATAAATCCTTAATAAGGCTGAAGTAAGGTATCAAATAAAAGTTGAGAAAAAAGGAAAAGTATTCTTTACAAAAAAAAATTAGTCTCACTAAAAATATGTGATACTTATTATTTTATTTATGTGTAACCGCTAACACATTTTGTTAATGAAAGGAACAATCTCTCATTACTTCTACAGCTCTATGACAGTGACCACCAATGTCACATTGTAGACTTGTACCTGTTTGAACATATACATACAAATACGGTTAATTTTATATAGATTTCACTGACCCAATTATGTAAATTAAAATATCGGATATATGATATCTATGTTAGTAAATAAAAAAATACATCTATGTGTTTAAGTCAAGTATAGAGATAACTTTTAAATTACAAAATTTTAATAGTTATTCTATTTGTTACAGATTCCTCGCCATCTGGTGGCCACTCAAATGTCAAATAACGAAGCGGCGCGCGCGCATGATGATCGTGTTCATCTGGATCTTTGCAATCTCCGTCACCACTCCCTGGGTGTTCTTCTTCGACCTGGTGGTGGTGTTCGAGGACAGCCCACACGTCCGCCTCTGTCTTGACGTGTGGCCCAACCCCTTGAGCGAGATACTGTACTTTGTCATCGGAAACCTCATCTTCTGTTACATTCTGCCGATGGTACTCATCACTATGTGCTATATTCTTATCTGGATCAAGGTGTGGAGACGCGCCATCCCCACCGATACACAGGACGCCCAGATGGAGAGAATGCAACAAAAGTCCAAAGTGAAAGTTGTTAAGATGCTCGTTGCCGTAGTCATACTGTTTGTGCTCTCCTGGTTCCCCCTGTATCTGATATTCGCAAGGATAAAGCTGGGTGGGCCTGTCCAGAAGTGGGAGGAAGACATATTTCCAGTGGTAACGCCCCTAGCGCAGTGGCTCGGTGCCTCTAACTCATGCATCAATCCTATACTGTACGCGTTTTTCAACAAGAAGTACAGGAAGGGATTCGTCGCCATCATTAAGAGTAGAAAGTGTTGCGGGAGACTGCGGTATTACGAGACCATTGCGCTTCAGTCCTCGAGCACTTCGACCAGGAAATCATGGCACTACAATAACAACAACCACGCGTCGATCACGCGTCGGTCACCGCCCGTCGATAAAAACGCCGTGTCCTTTATCTTTAACCACACCGGAGTTTAACTCTTCAACGGAGACTGGACTTGGTTACAAAAGTGCCGCTGGAGCCCGAGAGATGTCGCTCTTCGGGGAGGTCGGGGCGTGTGTGTCATATCGACATGCTTGTGAGATATCCAGTACATTTGCGTTGGCAAGTTATGGTACAAGAACCAAATTCTCGACCATCGTGAAAATCAATAATATTAATATACCTATTTATTATTGTATTCGATAGTTTTTACTACTGTTAAGGTTAACTTTTTTACATGTAACATTTGGAGATGTGTAAAATAAATTTATTTTTACATTGAAATGCCGCAGTCGCTAAACGCACAGACAGCACAAATAATACATACTTCATATATTTAATATCGTCTAATATAGCATAACATTTAGTTACGTTACTTAAATCTAATCAAATCTTAAAATTTACTTAGTAACCTTTTATTTAAACATTAGGTTCTTTTTATTGATAATATTTAGTAAAAGATTATACAAAAAAAAAGGAAAAAATATCCCTATAGTATTTTAATAAACATATTTTTTTTTCAATTTCAAGTTAAATTTATTGATTCAAATAACAAGTATTGCACATAATTAATTAAATATTCTTTATAAAATTACGGAGTAAACAAGTTATTAAGTGATTATAATTTAACTTAATTTTTTGTAATATCAATTACTTTATTCCGTTAAATAAAGTATCGCCTTCTATCATTATAATAATGTTTAAAGTAATAATTAGACATTAGTAATAATAAGTTTGTATCTAAAAAAAAACTATCATTTACTGGATTCAATAAAAATGTCATATTGATGATATTTTTATTGATTCTAAATATTTTCATTCTGTCCAATGTTGACAGAAAGCCGCTTACGATGCACAAATAACCAGAAACTTCTGGGTAATAGGATAAGTAATAATATAATATAAAGTTGTATAAATAAAATATATACAAATAAATATTTAGTAAATAAATTTTAATAACATGTAGATTTGTATCTTTTTAATTAATAATCTGTACTTACAGGCACATTATAGTAACGAATTACTAGTAAAAAAATTAAAACGAAAAAATAACAGAATAATATTTTTCTACTAAAAATTTCACTTTTATTGCCAGTTATGCGTTTCACTGATACGTTGCTAATTTAAATGAATAGTATTTTCTGAACATTATTAACTTCTTTGTATATTTTGTTTCCAAGTAAATCCATTGAATATCAACGACAAAGTCAAAGCTTGCGAGACTGATTCTGTAAACGCGACGCATGATTCCTTCAAAAGGAAACATTTGTGATAATAAGACGGATTTTGAATTCTGCTATTTTTAGAAACACTAAGCTTAGCTTGTGAATAAAATATCCGAATATTTTGTAACATTCATTCAGTAACGAATGTATTTTAAAAATCGAATCTGTCGTCGTTCATTTATTTTATGTAAATAAATATATCTTAGCTTTACGTAATTTGTTAACGTTTTTAAAAATTAGATTAGTTGAACATAAAAATGTGTTTGACTAATTCACCCTATTTCATAAATTATTTTGGTATTTAATTGTTTTGCTTACGTAAGCTTTCAAGTCAAAAGCTCTTTTGTAGATGGGATTATTCACAATGCGAGCTTAGATTTGCCGCAACCAATTTGAATTTAGTTTATTAGGCAATAATTGTATTTTTTATAATAGTATATTACTGGATTTTGTAAATGGCAATATGTAATGTAAGTGACTTCGTTTTATCTGATATGTACAATAAGCAAAACACCATCTTAAATATTTTGTAATTCACAGTTTAATTCATACATTTGTAGTTTTCTAACGAACATTTAATAATAAATATTTAGGAATGTTATTTGTATACAAAATATATACTCTTCATGTTTTTGTAATGTAATATATAAACTTAAAACAATAATTGTAGATGTTAATGTTACTTCAGTTCAAGTAGACGCGTTCTTGTAAATAGCTGTGTTAAGTTGCCGTGTTTGGTGTTAGAGTTTAAGAATATTAGAAATATTGGTATATGAAAAATTTAAAACTAGATTTAAATAATTCAACATTCTACATACAATAAAGTTATTTGTATTAAATTAAAACGTCGAAATTGTTTCAAGATTTGCCCTTAACTTAAAGTTACATGAATCATTGTATATAATTGTTTGGTGTTGTGTATAGAATGTATATTACATATAAAACGCTTGTAGTTTCCGCTTTAGTGCTAGGTTGTAAAAAGATTTTGTAATTTTACCGTAGATCTTGACTGTGGTGACATCTGCATTAATGTTTATTGCCGTCTCTGTTTTGTAAAACAGAATGAAAGAGATGACAATATGTATTCATATATACGTCACGTCAGTGGTCTTTTACTATAATCATAGTTATAGTCGAACAAGGATATATAGCCCGGTAAAAACGCTGCGATTGGTTCGTAAAAATAATTTATGACAGCTACACTACGAACAGGATCTTGTGACATTTTTGACATTGATACGATGGCGTTTGTGAGCTGTCATATTTTAGTTTGACTATGCTTACCGAGTTATATATCCTTGTTGGTCTTTGTAAGTTAGTTCTGAAAGCAATGTGCAGCGTGATTTAACAGGTTATTTCTAGAGCACGGCTATTTGTAACATTTGACTTAATTTTGAAGAAATTAGATATTTCTTTCATTTTTAATTTTTGAAACATGAATTTTATTAATCGCAGTTCAAATAAAATTTGTTAAGTTAACCCAGTGGTAGTGTTTTGTTATTTAGTTTTATAATAATGTCTACTAAAATTAAGTCATGTTTACAATAGTTAAGTTACTGTGTAACATCTAACTTGTGTCTTATCTGCAAAGTAAACTGAAGCAATTTATACATATTCATCTGTCTAATTCCGTACAATTTACTTACATATCAATATTTACGGGTGTTTTCGAAAGTTTCTTTTTGACATCGAAGATTTAAAATAGATAATTTTGTAAGAGTAATGTTCTTGTTTATAATTTCTTTTATAATACGAATAACATATGTAGTGGCTTTTTAACATTTGGAAATCAATAGCAATAATTCACTTTACGTCAGGAAATGAGATAGTTATTGATTATAATGGATTTGAATGGAATGTATGTTAGAATACAATTTATACTCAAACTTGTATACAATATAAAAGCACAAATGTTTACAGCTTTTTTAATTGTTATATATGCAAGACGTATTTACATTTGAACAAATTAATTAATTTAATGAGAACGTAATCAATAAAAATATATACAAATAAACATTAAATTAATTAATTTTTAAATGATAAAATTTATTTATTAGTCTGTTTACATTTTTATTTTATTTTTTGCAAAGGAATATAGTGTTGTAATGAGAACATGTGAAATTAGTTAATAATATTATTATAATTTTGTTACCTTGAACCTACTTTTTATTAAAATTTGATTCCTATTATAATCCAGAATTTGACGTGAAATATAAACCCACTGTATGCTGTTGACTTATTCATTGGAGTTGCTTAGTAAATTGTTAATAACGTACAAGACACTAAAGAATTGTAAAGTTAAATAAATGAATGTAAAATTATAATCAGTGTTTTTTTACTTGCAAAAAGGTATGCTGCAGTAGATTTTGCCTTTTTGCAAAATCTGTAATATATTGCAAAAAATCACATTAAGAGCGGCCGCACATCTTTGACTGAACTATATGATTACTGTTGTGCGATTGTCGATTGTTTCGCAGCCAATTCAACTGTTTGATTGCTCAAATAAAAGCGAGACTAAACAATTGTGCGATATTTTAGTCAAAGGGCTCTAAATGTTTGCCAGAAATAAACTCTAATCAAAATAAGAAAACATGTTTGAAATAGACAGCGGCCTCGATTTTTCCTTAATAACGTCGCAGCCTAAATTATTAATGAAAATCGATCCGACGTAATACACTTCATACGATGTTGTGGCTCCAAAAATAACTTGATGACCCAATAATTACAGCAGTTTTCAATAAGACGCCTGAAAAGGTGAATATTTTTTTATGTATGGAGTTAAAATTGTTTTATATGGAGCATTTATAGTCAATTATGACTAATGTAAGCAATGTGGACAGAAAATACATACAATACATTTATTAAAAACTAAACTGCGTTGCAAATGGGGTAAGAAAAATTGGATTTGTCGTTTTCAGCCACTGAAATAATGTACTTATTCAGTTAGGTTCCGAGTTGTCAATTTTAAAACATCTTTAACGCCTAAATCTGAGCAACAGAGGTGATATCAAAAAGAAACATTATCAGCTTCCAGACGTTACGATGTTTGACGTCACAGTTTTGCGAATCGGTCATCGCCCCCTGTAAACCGTGATGTTAAGTGCCCACTCTAAGAAATAAAGGTCTGTGTGACAGGGTAACGAACTCTCCCATCAACTGTGCAAATATGACTTTAAAGAAACAAGGCCTCTCTTATTTGTTATCCCTTATTAGACAAGTAATTGATCATGAAAATATTTGAACGGATAGTTGCTACGAATAAATATCTTGATAAATGTTCAAAAATATATTGTATTTTTTAAACCATAGGGTTTAAATAAATCATATTTATTAAGGATACAATTCCAACGAACTCTTTGCCCTATGTGAAATTGTGTGTAACTTAGCTTCTTCCTGTAGATAAAATATGTGCATATCTGTATTCTGAAGCAATAAAAACGCCTGCGTAAAAGATGTATCTCCCAAGATGTGGCCACCCTCTATCTCCTACTACCCCTCTTATACACAGCAATACGTTATCTAATAATGGTTAAGAAATTGTAAAAACAAATTTAGAAATTGAAATTGTACATTGTTAATGCAAACGTGGTAACAAACCGGTATCTAACGAACATTATATTTATAAAAACCACCACAGTTTAATGTTACAACTATATCTTTAGAAATGGGCCTGCAAAATAATATAACAAAATGTTGACGCGACCAGTATAACAAAATGTTTTAAATTGACAGAATGTTTGTAAGCATTAAATTCGAGAATCACTTAGTTCACTCAAGTGTACTATGTTTTAAATAATAAATCCAAAAGAAAACTAAACCTCTATTAATCTCACGAACGAAGCAATCAACAAAAGTAACACGACCATGAAATACCCGGTGCACGGCGCTCGGCGCTCGGCGCTTGGCGCTTGGCGCAGGGTTGTCATATTCGCCTGATTATCAACACCTGTTAATTCACAATTTAATCTATAATAGTTAACACGAGAAGAGATAAATTCCGTTAGCAATTAAATAGTTAAGTAATATTTTAAACCAAATTTTACATTCAGACAAACCGAAGAAAAAATCGTATAATTTCGTATATTAAATTTCTTA